GGCACTCGAAGGTCCAGTCGAGCCATAGCTCGCCGAAGAAGTGCTCGCATTCATGTCATACGAGTATTTCATGTCTTTTAAATCACGCGACGGATTCATCACTGCATCAGACCATCGATCGGACCAAATGTCTTCAGATGTAATCACTAAATGTGTTCACAATTCATGAAATGTGAACTCAATTCAAGTGAAACTCAATTTAAATGACAAAAAATCATTTAAAAAACATATAATAAATTACGTCATAATACACACCATTTATCAAAACAACTGATTTTCTGTGGATATTTTGCATTAGTTTTAGTGCTAAACGGCAACAAAATTTGTGAAAACACGTGAATATGATTTGGCGCACAATTGCCATTTGAGTGAAACCACAAACAAATCACTGGTTTTGCGTTCAATTGATTGCGAAAATCATTTCATTTGCAAAAGTATTCATTGATTTTGGACTCAATTTATTTGACATTCATTTTGACTTATCGTTGAATTAGACCACTCTCTCTGCTACCTACACAGCCTGTTGCTCAGCCTGCTTCTGCAGAAGTTGTAGATGAGGTTTTACTAACTATTTCACTAACAGAAAGCGTAACAGAAGCGCAACTTAGGTTAACTTACAGAGAACACTTGTCCACACAATACAGGATTCAAACGGTGAGACCAATGGCCGCAAGAATGGGTCCAAAAGTGGTGGTCAAGAGTTGTCGCGATTGAGGGATGAGAACAAACGGCTGCAGAAGCTGTTAGACAACTACAAGAGTGACAGCAAAGCCATTATCAATAAGGCGTTACTTCTTAAGGAGAGGGACAAGACATCGGTGTTGGAGACCATAGAGCTCTTGAAACTGAACGCATACCTCATCAGCCATTTACCAGACGCCGAGCGAGTGCTCAACCATTATCTCAAACTCACGGCATTGAATGGCGGATCCAAGTCATCGACCTCTTCGGCTAATAACAAGTCAAAGGATAAGCGAAAGGAGTCCATCGGTAACGACGACGAAGACAAGGATCAAAGCAAGACATCCGACGCCAGAAGACGTTCGCCACGAAAGCAGTCGAAGGCTTCCGAAGGAGAGTCAAGTAATTCAAAGCGCAAACGTCTTGAGTACTTATCCTCTGATACGGAACCGGAGGTCAAAGACAAAGACAACACAAAGAAAAAGCCCATAATTGGTCCCAAGAGTAGACTCGGTCGGTCGCCCGTCAAGAAGTCTCAGTCAAAGGCCAACGATAATGAGTCTCAAAGTCGCGACAAATCGGCTGATTCGCAGACTTCAGAAAAACCTGAAGACAAAAGTGCAGAGAAAGTGGTTAAGAGAAAGCCGGGACCTAAGAGGGCGCGAAGACCTCGCGTTGAAGAGCCAAAAGGTATACAATTGTGTGGAATGTAATGTTGAATACTATATGAATTGATGGTTTGTATGCATTGGATCCATTGGATCTATTGAAGGCTACTTTCCCTGTACTTTCGATCCCAAACAATGCGATGAAATAATGGACACTAAAGAGCACTTTGACTTTCATATGAGCGGTCATTACGACGCAAAGGTATGATCAGTGGTTCCCTTATTAAGTGATTTGCGGTAAATATGATGTGATATCTGTTGACAGTATGTGTGTCCGTTCTGTGCATATACGGGACCAACCATTCAGACAATCAAACGGCACATAAACACTGAGAGGGAAAACGCGGCCAAATGTGTGGCAGAGAATAAGCCACTGAATGAGGACTTGAAGGCACATAAGGACCAGAAGATCTACAAGTGTTTCGGTTGCAAAGTATGCAACAAAATACACGACAAACTCGAGATACGGTGCGAACATATAGAGGAGGCCTCTGACAATGAGTGCGATTTCATGCACGACATCGACTACCAGTTCAAAGATCACCTCAAAAGGCACTTCAATGAGCTGTTCAAAGGTATCAAAGACAAGGACCAGAGGAGGGATAAAATCCGACCCATTGTTGACAAGTTTGCCGAAGAGATGTATTTCGAGAACAACGCAAAGAAGAGGGTTTTGATCGATAAGTTCCAGTCGAAAGACAAAGACGACAAACCAAAGGATAAACCCATTGTCATGT